CTAGTGAGACACTTCAGGCCATCTGATCCCATAAATGTGATGACACGTAAGTAGTAGCTAAAGTTTTGTATTAAGAATAATTTATAGCTTACCAGCCGACACAAAGAAGCTCTTACAAACGTGTCTTGTGTCTACACGTGTTAGACTGCATATCAAATTGTATTCACCCTTTTACAAAATGGCCGGCAAACATGTAAACTACAGAGTGTCATAATATCATGCCCATGAGTTAGGTTGTAATTCATTATCTATTCTCGAGCACGGTTCATCACAAATCCCTCGATACCTAATGCACATCGTATAATATTAACGGCCACTTCTTTTCTTGTTCATGCAAACATAACAAAAAGTTCACTCCTAATTGTCCGTTACGGCGAACTGGAACAATGTTCGCTACCACCTAAACAAGTGTAGTAACAGGCTACCCTTTCCTTATGAGTATCGCAAGCGAGCTGAAAATCATACTTGTAGTGGCTGACGCAGTACCACGCGCCATTTTCTTTCGCATCGATCTCTCCTCTTTGTTTTCTTCGCTTCGCTCTTCTGATCGTCCCTCTGGATCAAGGATTGTATGAAATATACGTATTCAAAATCCATCCTCGTATTTGGCTTATTCGATCCCGTAATTCGCTAACAAAGATCGTTGTTATGCACATTTCGATAGCATTCGTCATAAGATCTGACTGCAGTCAGATACAGTTTCAGCGAAAGTTTTGAGCCCGTCGATGTCATCAACGCCCGATTTAATCGGCGTCAAAATAAAGTGCCGTCGAATGCACTTCTTATACTCCAGTTGTTGGGTGTGGAATATCGACGTCATTACGGAGAACGAAGTACACTCTACAAAGGCACGGAAGCCTGCGTATTTAACAATTACGGCATTTTCATTCAACGGCGAAGCAATATTGTCACGGTGTTGATGACAACTGTTTAAACAACGACAATAAAAATGAATGTCTTCATACGTTCTTTGTGTATTCTCTCTGACTCTAGATGGCAACCACGAGCGAGGTCACTATAGTGCCATACTAGTGTCAGAAAGCAAAATGTTGGCATTGCCAAACAATATAATTGGTTCAGCACCACATCTCCCTTGACACTCACCTGCCAAAATCATATGATGTCAAGTGTACACCACTGGACTGACCGCTTCACCACGCCTGTCATACTTAGTACAGGTCTGCAAAAAACAACAATGACAGAAGAAACACAAGCAAACCTCGCACAGACAAGTGGATTACAAACCCACAGCCGGCGACCTTCAGTAGGCTAGTACGGCTTACAGCAGTTTGTTTAAATGCATCTGTACTTATCTATTGTTGAACGATACTAACATGTAGGACATGGTTATAGTGATACATATATAGAGGTTTGGGTCATTGTTAGGTGCTCTTCATAGTCTGACCTACCAGATCCACAGTTACACGTTGGCCAACTCAACACCTCTTATCCCACACTTTTAATGCCATACTGACACCAGGTGCGATCAAACGAGATAAATGGTTCAGCGCCTTAACTTCCTTGCCGCCGGTTTACCGAATAAAACTCCTGTAACATTACGTTCCTACGTACTAGACTGAATACATCGAAAGAGTGAGATGATCTTGCAAATAATTTACTACACACCTACTCGGAGCAGTTTTGAAGTACATGTTCTTCACATCAACTACGGCGATTTCTTGTGTGATTCCTACTGAACTACTTTTAGTATCTGATTTAACTAGGAAGAGAATAGTGGTGTGGATCTCAAGTTTTATTACCACAATTGAAAAATGCTTAGGCCATGGATCTCAAACAATAAATATTTTGTACTCGGATGACTGAGCCATCTCAAATGACCTTATGGCACACACTCAACTACGAAAGGCCACTTGAAGGATGAACTCACAGCTATGAAACATGCGCTGTAAACTATAATTTGTCAGTCTTACAGTTTATTAAAAATAGCAGTTTCTTAGAGTTTTCTATTCACACGCGACGTGCACCTGAGGACAATAAATAAATATTTACGCCAATCGATAGAGATCTTTTTAATTTGTACGTGAACGTAGTGAGAATATGTTATCAGCACTTAGCAATTATGCTATCCACACACGTTTAAAAATTTTAAGGCATTTTCTAATGCACTCCATGTTAGGAGCTTTTGAGATAGGATTATCTACAAGAAGCATCGATTAGGTCAGCCGAAATACTGTCAGAATTACTTGACTCTGTATTGCTGTTTAGTAGATGGAGAGAATTTAGGGTAGTGACGAAAGGGTGAATTAAACGAACCTCTCTTTGCTAGTCATAGGCTGACAAATAAACAGCGGAACATGATTTTTTTGACTGAAAGCTAAACAAAAACATATGATACACATGATTGCATGTCATTTGGTGCTTTTTGAAATATGCTGGACTTCTGAAGACAAGTGTGCTATTAACTTAAGCTAGCTTACATGCAGGCCACTGACCTGATGTGCACCGGATGAAATTATCACCTTGAGGCAAGCCGGTCAAGGTCGATACAACGAATAGGTGATTTCAGTCCTAAAAAAGTCTATATCCTGTGTCGTGATTGTCTTGTAGTATTCATTTGAGTCACCCTTCATTACGCGAGATTGTTGACCTGAATTATTTCCTAATTACCCTATTGAATTCACATTTCACTTCACGTCGTAAACGCCAAACGTGCTCAAGAAACATTTGACAATGAACTGTAATCTAATCGAGGTGATTACCCATGAGTGAGCTTACACGTAGCATTCATTCCCTAACTATTGTTACTATTTTATCATTTAACATGACTTTTTAAGTTTTTTCCATCAAATTCTTATTTAAATGGGTCCATTTAATATTTGTTTTGGCATACTATTATTTGTTTTGCATATTGAATAATTTATTTTGCGGGTCCACTATAATATCTATTAATCTGGCCTCCAAGTGGATGATCAATAAATATTACTTATTTTTATTCGGCTGAAAGAACGTGTATTATTGACTGAGCTGAATCCTGCAAAGAAAAATATTTGCTGCTCATAGAGGGATATTTTATCTGCCCTGAACTTACGCATAGGACTTTGGCATACGGACTCTTCAGCTGTTTGTACTACACTATAGTGAGCCTTCTGATTCCGTTGAAAGCTATGATAACAACGAAGCATTGATCTTCGTCTTGTTGTTACATAGTGTTAATAAGGATAAATTGGAAGTCGGATGTTGCCAGTGTTGAAGATGGGTATATTTCACGCGTACCGTTGATCAGGAAGACAATAACAATAAACAAATTGTAACAGCGTGAACTTGACAACTGCTAACCATAAACAAACGTAAATCTCTAAATGCTCTTGCTAATAATTCGAATAAACAATCATTAAGATAATCGATATGCAAAGATACGCGTAGGAACAAAACCACACATGAATCAATCCTAATTATGAGATGTACAATAATGAGACAATCTTAAAAAAATAACCGTCATTGAGGATCAAATGATCTAACAGTTAAACTATAAAGCAAATATAAGATATGTGAAGTAGGAGGATCTAGAATTAATACCTCGAAAAAATTAGAAATTCATAGCCCATAGATCAATGATTTGCTTGATAATCCACAATGTTTTATCTGAACAAAGTAACAAGAAGTTCGATAAGCAATCCTTGTATATTTCATATTAGGCTTTTTTACTATGATCCCATTTCCAACCGGCTACAAAAAAAGCAGACTTGTAAGATGCTCCCAGGATAACTCTGATCAGGCCTGTAGGTATAGTACTAGAAAATAGACCATCATTATAGATACAAATTACCATTATTGTGCCGGAAAAAGCGCTGATCACTTATACTCGGAACGAGGAACATCGACAATTCCCAGGATGCGAAAGTAAGAACACAAGACTGGCATAAGTGAAGATTTATTAGCCCCAAAACACTACGACTCTAGCCGAAAATACACTCATTTATATATTGATTGTTCACCCACTTTGATTAATAATTAGGATGAAATCACATATATGAAAAATACATAAAGTTATAAGAAATCACATACTGAGCATAGTTCATGTCAATGGAATACACGAATATCATGTTTTGCAGAATAAAATATCATACGAGACAATAAAACAAATACTACATTGAGTAATCATTATATTGAATCAAAACAGAAGTAGTCTTGAACAAAACTCATAATGAGTAAATCAATCGAAAATTGACTTTCCTTTCCATCATATCACCATATGATGCGATTCCATAATTTGAGTGCTTTGAAAGGATATAAACATTGACTCCAGAATGAATCCCAAGTGGCTAAGTATTCATCAAATTATATCACCTAGTATTGCGTTATCACCGAGTGCGAATTGCTTAAGACCTATATTACTTAACAATATGTATTTTCTACCTCCTTATATATTGTACGAGCATTCCGTGTACCTAAATTAATGGTTAGCGTTTTTTAGCGAGTTAGTTTTCTACGGAATGAGGTCGGTAACTCCATGCCCAACTCACCTCCTTTACCCGGATTTGGAAGCGGCAGTAGCTCCAGAGGGGCTCCAGGCGGAGTTTCCTTATCTACTAGCTAAGCGAAAATTTATTTGGATGCCACTGGATCTGTCTAAAGAAAAAGGCACAATGTGACTATAACAACACTCTGGTAGCACCAGGTTATGTCTATATATTCGTACACAAATTCATAGTCCGGCTACACACACGTATTAAAGACAGACGGAACACTATATATGTATAAACACCGAGTAATAAAAGGAAAGTCAAAATGTAGGTTGCGACAGACATAAAGGTAATAGTGATTTCTAACAACTGCAGTCGAGAACTGAATGCTAACCACAACTGAAATAATGTCCTACAATCCAACTAATTTCTGATTATACTCTCAGCTCTATTTTGATGCTCTTGCAATACCCCCAGTGATAGTTTATCAAATCTAAAATGGAAAAAGATTACTGAACAAATTACGACCTTTACGAGATATTTACAAATCATCTAATAAAAATATCAGACTAGAATGAAAACTAAAGACGATTTTTATTATTCAGTATTATTTATGATAATTATAAGGAAGCATCAAAAGTAACCGAGTCAGACAAAATATTATGAAATTTAGGAGCATTATCACAAATAACAAAAATTTGAATAAAAGTGAAGAAATTGAGAACTCCATTGCACACTGTCATCTTAAACTACTTACATAATTAGATAGGACCAAAATAAAACAAAATACAAGTCATAGAAGCTTTTTCTAAAAAAAAAAGAAAGAAACCCAACACAGCCTTTTAAAGATATTTTTTAAACGGAACCCCTATATTAAAGTACTTTATCAATTGTCATGAAAACCAAATATGTTAATGTCAACTTACAAATGCAACTTCAGTTCTCAAAACAACCTAAAATAAGATTGAAGCTGATTGGTGTTACATAGAAGAGGTATGTATGATTCACAGAAATACAAAAAAAATAGAGAAAATCAGGCCTTAAACCAAGATTATGCTTCTGTTTCTACTTCTGGCTCCATTTCATAGTGTTTAAGATCAGATAATACATGTGCGAAACTAGACCAATCATCAGTGGCAGGTTGAGAAAGACTTTCGTGAACATTACAAACAGTAACACGACCGGTATCATCTCCAACAGCTACATGTGTGCCTGCAATATTCCAACGGCATTTATTTAAAGCAACACCAACTAGACCAGATGATGACGATGAAGATGTGTCTACATTGCTTGATAATCCTAATTTGCGACGAGCCACAGGAATCTGAAATGAAGTAAATAAGTCAAAGCAATGAAACAAAACGAATACAGGTAAAGCGAAGTATTTGAAAACTCAGTTCTAAATTTCTGTAACTCAATTTACAAACACTTACTAGTGAAAATGTAAGGTCAAGAAAAAATTATTACAGGAAGTCCCCAAACACAACTGTTAACAGAAAACCTGTCTACATCCGTCTCGCATTCAAAGGTGAGAAGATTTCAGGCAGGATTGACAGAAGGATTAAAGCAGGGTCAAAGAGAAGCTTTCTTGCAGCCTAACTACTCTTGGTGCATAACAAAAAATGTTCCATAAATCAATCAAAAGTGAGCCGATACCCTTCTAAGGTCACCTGTACATATATTTAAGAAATTAAATATACCTGTAGAAGCAAATACATAGAAGGAACTGAAGGATCTTCCGAACATAATCCCCGGAAGTTGTGGCTGAAATGAAGTAAAATATTCACAAGTGCGATTGATGAACATATGTACGGGTTAATAATCCGCAAAACAGTTCTCAATATAAAACTGCTTCAATAATATTCGTTCCGTTATAACAGCTTGCGAAATGTATAGACATTGATCTCCGGAAATAAAAAAAACCAACCTTAACATTTGTACAAAAGCTAATAATATCGTTCGACTGTTCAAACCGAAATAGATAGAATACGAAATGATTCGAAGCCAAATGCATCAAACAATTGACAGAAGTACATTATTATGTCAAATTCTTCACAAGTAAAATGAAATGTTAGCTTATAATCCAATAGTTAAATCTTTTCAAAACATACTGATTAGTAGAAGGGATGACGGTTCAACCAAACGTTCCGTATAAATGATCACCTAAACCAATCAACTAAAGTCAATACAATACATACAAGCTATTTTCAACAGTGAAATTGAAATCATCACTATTAAAATAACAACAGTAATACACAAGTTTCAAGAAACGAATAATAATAATAATAATAATTACTTCAGCATCTTGATTCATATCCCATATATCTAAATTTCCAGTACCATCAACAGCGGAAAATACAGCCGGATGTATAGGACTCCAGCATACATCATATACATAATCCGAATAATCATCAAATGTATGTATAGGTTTATGTTCACGTGTAGACCATAAACGTACAGTCCAATCTAATGATGCAGTAAGAAACAGCGATGAAAAACTAAAAGCACCAGGACTTGGATGAGTAGAGATGGCTGTAAGAGGTGCACCATGTCCTTTATAAGGAACATGACGTGAAGTTTCTTCAGCAACACCCGTACGACTAAAGAGAATTCATAAGTTTTATTAGTTTAATTATATTTTTTTTTTAAAAATATGTAATACAACTCATTAAAGTCAATAATGAATTTAATAAACTAAGCTTCTTACTTAAACTTGTTAATTTACACGTCTAAACTAAACTTCTACGATGCATGTTTACCTTGTAGATACTTTAACAACAGGTAAAATTCAACAATGAAAAACCGTGAAATCCTTAGAATTTATATTCTAAAAGAATTTTAATATGTATCATGGAAACTATGTAAATAAAAGAAGGTAGATACACCTCGACTGTCTATGCTGAGTCTATTTGTCTATCTGCAATATAACAGAGGTCTGTCTGTATACACTACATATCAGATGTCTGAATTGAACATCAAACAAAATAAACAGGCGCTTATACAAATTTAGAAATGTACAGATGAGCTGAATATTGAAAATTAGACAGTAATTAATGTGATTAGGTATATTGATTTAGTTAACCACTATGATAAATTCTATTCACTAAAATGACAATTTAAACAGATAATCCGTAAGTTCCGTTCACCAGTTAACAATCATATATAACAAACACTATTGTTAAATGACGTAGTTAATTAGTTATAAATTTATTTAGAAGTAGCAACTGGAGACAACTGAAGAGGATTGTCTAGGACAAAGTTCGATAGAGAATGCTTGTGATCGGCCTATGTTCCCCCACGAGGGGTAACAGGTGTAAGGAAATAAGTATAAATTCATTTGAAAGTACAATTACAATTAAGAACTTATTTTTCAATTAGTGTGATAAGTAGATTGTCTGCATTCTGTGCATAAAGTGTGAGATAATAAACCATAAACAATGAATGAATGAATAAGAAATCAGAATAAAACAGGATTTTTAACATCAAAGAAAACGGTATAACAATAGTGATTATTGAAATGAAATATCTACTGTTCAAGACAAGATAAATAACAAATATATTAATACTATTGCAAATAACTGTAACTAATTTGTTAACACTTTGTAACTACTACTGATGTTATTTATCACTCAGATATCAACTAATAATTTTCAAACATGTTATGCATAAAAGAAACTTTTAACTACCAAACCTTTCTGTTATATTAATTGCATTCATGTATATCAATTTTTATCGAGATCATGAACCGATTAATATTAGATCGTCACTGGAAAAATGAAAGCACCGGACGGCCGTTTCGTCGTAGTATCGGACTACTCAGCAGGGCGCATCCACGACTCCCACGAGGAGCTCGAACCCAGGACCTTCGGTCTCATGTGAGAACGATTAATCTCTAGATCACCGAACTGACATCCTGGGTTCAAATCCTGCGTGCGGGATCATAGATACACGAAACGGCAGTCCAGTACTCTCAGCTTTCCAATGGTGGTCTAACATCGATCGGTTTGTGGTCTCAGTGAAACCCAACAATCTCCACAACCATATACTGACAAATCAATTTTACCGATTAACTTATTTTCCAAGTAAATATTAGTATAACTATATTATAGTGATACCACTCGGCTGCTCAAACTAAAGTAGATAGACCGGAGTTCAAGCATGCAACTTAAACTGACAGTTGAAAACCTTAAACAATGAGGTACCGCTTTAACATATCAATTAGTCCAATATCGCATCGTACATAAATTAATTAATCCTCCACGTCATCTAGTCAACCTTATAACCTTCTATATTAGTTAATACACATAGTTCGCTCTATCTTGTTGAACAGAACAAGAACAAAGAGTGGAGCAGAATACCATGAATTCATCTTATTTCTTTCGCTTCTTATCAGATGCAAAATTGGTGGAAATTAATTATCTGAAAGAGTTGAGTTGAAAGTTACTTTGAAGATACGTCAGTGTAATATAGCATCTGTAATGGGTATGATATTAACATTATTTGTAGGTATCATTACCTAGGTTTGACTTGATAATTTCCGAAAAATTGAGCATTGGGTTTATTTTTATTTGAGCACATAAATATTGGTACAAGAGGGCACCAAATATATATGCACCACACATTTAATAAGGGTTTGAATGATCCCACTGTTAATATTCAGGGCTGAATTCTGATCTGTCATTATTGACATACGTGCATCTTGTGTGTACTGTCTCAAAAAATATATTTGCACAAGCTCTCTGGAATAGATGGATTGTGATTACTGGATGGATACAGGAATTCAGTCCTGAATATTTAAAGTACGATAATTCAAACACTCGTAGACAATTATGATGTGCTTGGACAGTGAAACTTATTATTAAATTTAAAAAGATAAATAAATAAATACTAACTTATTATTACCTGCTATGCCGTTGTCCACAATAAGCATTACCATTTTCAGCACCAACAGCGTAATTATTCACATCATTAGCAAAAAATGACATACATGTAGGATAAAGATCGAACAGACCACCAGAAGACATTTCACAAACTTTACTTTTCTCTCGTGGTTGTGCTAACATTTCTAAACTCCATGCACACAATGAGCCATCTGATCCTAAACTAATAATATTGTGGGCATTCTGAGTACCAATTAGTGTAATTGCAAATACTGGATGGGTATGAGCCCATGATGTTAATGGACTACGCTGAACTGGTGTTCGCTTATTGACTCTATAATTCGAGAGAGAGAAAACTCGTTTATAAATGTGACGAAGTAAATTATACAATCAAGTACTGGTTCATGTAATCGGCTTCGAGTTACTTTATGTGTGAGGACTAGTGATCTTACCCAGGCGTAATGTAAAAGCATGAGTGGTGTATGATTCTCCAGAAAACTAATGTAAAATTAGCCTCTTCCGGGGTATGTTTATAATTGTGTGAAGGGCATATTCTTGGGAGCATTATTGAAATGTCAACAGAGGTAATCGCATTAACCTGAGTATGTTAAGCAAGGATGAGTTTAAGGAAGAGTGAAATGAAGTCTAGGACATTTGTTCGAGACATGTTGTAAGAGTACTAAGAATGATAAATCAAAAGCAACTTTGGGAGTAAAATAAGTACAATGGAATAAAACATAGCCAGTGCAATGAATACCAGACTACTGAACTAAGTGGTGTAAGAATTTAAACTTGATAAATAATTATAAACAACATTGAAAATGATAGACAGTTACAGATGACATACGACATTGTAGAACAAATCTCATTGATCTAGTCGCATTAAATTACTTTTCTTGACCTAATAACTGGAAAGAAAATGTTAGGTTAGTCTTATAAACAACAATCTCAAGCTTTAGTTACATGTTTTACATTAACATTCTGTATTTTTTCAATGGTTTGTTAGGTAGTATAGAGGTTTTTTTTTCTTTTATCAACTCATTACCAGAAACATATTCGTGTACCTGTATTTGAGTTACATTTTAAGTGTGACGGCTAGCACGATACTATAAGTTGAATTGAACTAAAATAGGTAGAACACCATTTAAACTTGAGACTTAATGGTTGAATTTCGGATACATTAACCACTGAACTACCCGTCTGTACATGATTTTTAAGATTTCATTAAGTTAAAGTATCGTTTTAGAAAAAATTAGTTAACCTACCGACTATCCCATAAGACAATCTGTCCAGAATAAGTACCACCAACTACAATGTTTGGATGGAAACGTGATAAACTAGCCGATGTAACTGGGGATTGACAATGAAATATAAATTCCGGTGTTAATTTCTTTGGATATTTCATATTCCACATTAAGCAAACACCTTCAGGTTCATGAACAGCTTCTTCATTCATATGATATGCTGTAAGTAATAATTCTGGAAATATAGTTGACCAATCTAAACCAGTGATTGTACGATGTTTAGACCATCTTTCATCAAAAAATTCATTCGATACAGTTAACAATTCATCAGACCTAAAACAAGAAAAAGCGATAAATAAGTATATAAGAATTAAAATCTGATTTCAATCAATAACAAAACGATACTGAGACACAAACGGATTGAAAAGATTCTACTGTATTTCTGCACTGCTGTACACGTAGGACGTTGATTCGAAAGAAAACCAATAAGTAAAGCCTCGATTGTCGAAGTAGCCACTGGTTAAGCATGGGCAACACATATCCTAAACACCTCAATTGGTGAAGATATTCACTAACTCACTAACTGATTCATAACCTTTGTCAGGCACCATATGCCTAAAACACACAGAACAAGAAACCATAAAAAGTGAATGGACGGAATGTGGCTAGCGACCAAATCTAAGAAGAGCATTTCGTCCTATTTGGGACTTATCAGCACGATGTACATGCATCCTAGAGTTGAGTCCGAGAATTATTACCAACTGAATGTTACAAGTTTCATCAAAAAATGGAGAGAAAACAACAAGAACTAACACCTAACTTCGAGGTTACCGAACTTTAAACAAAAAAACAGACATAATTGTATCATGTTGTTAAAAGTTGTAATTAGACGATCAGTTATTTCAAGACAATGATAAAGCACTAGTTACTGATCATGTGCGTCTGTGCAGAAATGGATTGTTTGAAAAACTATGTATCAAATGTATACTCTGAAGGTGGTAGGAAGTTGGATAAGTCTGTAAAATGACTTTTCTTGATATAGCCAGGTGTAATAGGAACAGCCGTACAGCGAGTTACTACTGACTGATATGCAAACTAAGGTCGTTAAATTTATTTTTGTATTGGTTTTCTGAATGTCCTCATTGACGTTTAGGACTGAAATTGATCAGTCTCTTATTGGCATATGTGCATACCACGCGTATTGCCTCGGGTCACAAGCATTATAAGCAGAGAGGGCTAGTGGCTAGCAGTGGAATCCAAAACGCACGTTTCATCCTCTTTGCAACTCGTTTTGGATTGGTACTGTGGTTTTACCTTACCGCTAAGGTACGACAGAAGAATTACAACATGCATGGGAAACATGCTAAATTAGGGCTTCCACAATACATCTAACACTCTAAGAAACGCTTTACTTAAAATAAAAGATACGATCCTGTTCACTTCCACGGTCAATTGAATGAAACTCGATACTATACATCAACTTCCTTGATTGTGAAAAAGCGTGTTACAACGTGGATAGGAAAACCTAATGGGACCTTCTTCGACACTTTGATGTATCGAAGAAGATTGTCAACATTCATACAATGAACTACAATGCAAAGTCGTGCATGGAGGACAGATGCATACTAAGTGTGGAACGGTGTCAGACAAGGCTGTTTACTCCCACCGTTTCCCTTTCGTCTGGTGGTTGACTAGATTATGAAGACCTCCACATCTCAGGAGGAGCTTGGAATACAATGCACAGATTGGGTACAACTAGACGATTTGAACATAACATATGACTTAGTTGTGCTATCCCATACACAGCAATAAATGCAGGCAAAAACAACAGGTGTAGAAGAAGCCTCTGCAGCAGCACGCCTCAACATACACAAGGGAAAAACCATGATCCTCAACTACAACATGGAGAACACCAACCCAATCACACTTGATAGAGAAACTGTGGGAGAAATGGAATCTTTCACGTAGCTACGTGGCCGGCATCATCGATGAACAAGGAGGATCCGATGAAGACGTAAGGGAAGGGATCGGAAAAGCAAGGACAAGGTTCCTACTGTCGAAGAACATATGGAACTCAAAACAACTGTCAATCAACATCAAAGTTGGAACCTTCAATACGAACATCAAGACAGTCCTATTGTACGGAGCTGAAACTTGGAGAACCATCACACCCACCGTCAGAAAAGCACAAGTATTTCTGCACAGTTGTCTAAGCAAGATACTCCATACCTGTTGACCGGATACTATCAGCAACAATCTACCGTATCAAATAACGAACCAAAGTCCAGCTGAAGAGGAAACTAGATAAAAGACGATGGAGGTGGATAGGATATACATTTTGGGAATCACCAGACTGCATCACGAGGCAAGCATTAACTTGGAGTCCTGAATGGTAAAAGTAAAGAGGAAGACCAAAGAGCGCATTGCGTCGAGAATTAGAAGCAGGCATCAAGAGAATGGAATAGCAACTTGAAAGGACTTCCGAGGACAGAGTTTGATGTAGAATCCTGGTGGGTGACCTATGCTCTTCCATGAGAGGTAACAGACTTAAGTATGTAAGGATAACGAACATAAATGATCAAAAATACTCACTCTTCAGTTTCAAGATCTTGACCGGAATAATCCAAAAAGATACCTTCATCTGGATGACAAATCGCTCGTTCAATTATACGTGAAGAACGTTCAAAAAAGCGTAGAAAAGCATCGGATGATAATAATTGAGCTTTTTCCTCCTCTGACATTAGGATAACTAGCAAAGACACGATAAACCAAGGTCAATAAAATTAGTGAAATGAAACTCACATAATTCTGATAAACTACGTCTTCTCATTGCATTATCGAAATTTATCAAAGGGACTAATTGTTTTAAATATATAACATAATGGATAGAACGATAAAAAATATTAGACAAAATGCCAAACACAATTGAAGCTGTATACTAAGTTGTACACAAAGATGACTTAACTTTCACAAAACAACAAACTAAATCAGATAACCGATATATAGGAAACACTTCATTGTAGTTTACATAAACATCAATGACTAAATTCACTTTGATTTAGATCAGCTGACAAAAGAGTAATATGATTGACAGCATCCTAAAATTCACAGTAGTAGTAGTAAAGAAGAGCTCAGATAGTTATTTGCAAAGATATTAAAGGATTATGAGGTATTTTATCGATCTAATGATAATTTTTGCATCTCTTAAAAATGTTTACTTCGTCTATGATCAATTCACAAACTTGATTCAGTCCTATAGGTGAATAGATAAGAAATTTCATATATATGATTATTAATTTTAGAGAAGTGAGATTTCAACATTTTAAGGTAATAAATCTACTGTACTACTAAATACTAAATTCCCATCTCAGTATATTTACAAACCATACTACTTACAATGAAATCAGTCTATTTTCACTAGGGAGAGCAGAAATAATAAACAAAAAAAATACTAAATAACTATCGAAAGTGAATAACATGTTTTGTAAGTTTGGTATACATCAGTGATTGCATAAGTCAGTCATGTGCAAAATGACTACACGGAAATTCACGTATTGTTATATCGCCTTATCTAATTCAGTTGAAAACCTCAAGTTGAAATAAATCGGACTATAAGGACTCCTACTGTACTACATAAGAAAATTAACTTCATAGAAAAGCTGTAACACAAGTTTATTCGACATAACAGTTCTCATTATATATGTATAAAGTTTGGATCGATCCAAGTATTAATGACAAAAGACATTATGAAACAAAATGATGCACAATTTCATAAACTTCAGGAATTTATCTGGAGGTGATTGATTTCGAACACCTTGATAACAAAAATATTGAATCGCGGATGTTAATGGTTCCATTAGCAAATCAATTACAAATAGTGGGACCATACGAAATAAAGTTGTCCATAGCCACCGTAACCGGTGGTTAGTTAAAATAATTTGGAATGCTGCATAGACATCAACAATTAACTACCGCAGATAGGCTTCCAGATGGGTGTTATTTAACGTGAGAATTAGTAGGGGGGAAACTAGACCATGAACTATTCTAAAAAGAAAATGCATTAAGTAGAAACTAATAATATAAATATTATTATTGAATTATATTGAAATATCGACAAAGAATTTCGTTCTCTGTTCTGGAGGTACCTGAAAAGGAAATTGGATTAAAGGTGGTCTTAGTGACCTGAGAGCGTGACCGCAGTGCCCAAGGGACAACTGCTTGAGGCCGGTCGCGCACGGCCTTTTCGTAGGAGAATTTTGACGTGTTAGCTCCGTTCTTCAAAGGGCCTTACCGCCGGAGACGGAAATCCGTGAGGTAAGGTGAGGTGTGCATTTTTAGGGTCGACCTTTTCTAACCCCACCCCTCCTTGTGGGAAGGCAGCATCGCTGTCATGCTGGTTGTCTGAAGGAAACACCTTACTGCTGTCACACCTCTGTACAGTCAGCAGTACGACTTCGCCTTCGGACCTTGGGTTTGTTGCTTTTAGTCTTACCGCTGTTCAACCGACCTGTCTGACATGGTAGGACCTTGAGGAACGGTTGTTCCAGCCAGTATAGCTCGGTTGCTTCATCACGATAGGCAAGCCCGACCACCACGTCAAGGTAGCAACAACGGTCGGGAGAATTTCGTTCAGATGAGACGGATCGATTGGATGTTGCTTAGGATTCTACCGATACGATGTTCTATGATATTGGAAATTAATATGAATTTCTTAAAGAGTACGTTACATCTAGTGAGCCAATCCACAATCTGTAACCTGTTTATGTGAATATACACTGAAGACGAATCTGATATCAACGAGGGCATAGAATCAACACTCTATAGTCATTTGATATTAGCACAAAAAGAATTAAATGTGAAAAGCAACGATATATGATACAGTTTGTGGAAATAAGAAACTCAATGAAAACACTGTGAACAGAAAAATGGTGGAAATTACAAAGGTCTTTTTATAATATTGCTTAATTTTAATGTAAATTACGTACTATCATTACGTTGAATATCATTTGAGGTATTCTCGTCAACACCATCAGTACTTGTCCGTATTCCATCAATTTTATCTAATATTCCACGAGATTGTCCAGTTTTAGTGACACCGATATGAGGCATCTTTTCCAGTTCCGCTAACGCAGCATTGGCATCCACTTCATCACGATTACCTTCATCGTATGTTAATACTGTGAAAAAGAAGAAGCGTTGTTCCATACAACATACAAAAACTAATGTAATATAATGATGAAATCTTGCACACGTTGAGAACAAACATGCTGTATAATATCATTCACTAGTATATTAAGCGAAATATTTTCAGTATTCATTAGAGGGGTAAGGTATACACTCAAGTGATATATATAAGTAAAAATGTAAAGCGGCACTAAAATAATAACATTTAGTAAGCTGTCACGATCGTGTTTAGTCAGTATCACTTGACAAGGTTTACCAACCACAATCTAGACTACAATTCTCTATAAACCAAACTTCTATTGTGATCTGAGCACACACAAGCTATGACTGATAAGAGTTAAGCTTTTCCTATGACCGAGATAATGCGAATCCTAGTTGGTGTCCTCGACGTAGCTTCCTCAGCATTCAGTGTAATAAAAGAGCATAGAGAGCAGATAATTTCTTTACAATTCAAACTCATACAATAATGTACAGTGAATTCCAGACCATACAACAACATTAATGGGGAATTACAATGTGTGCATAACTACCTCTTAAGTGAAAGAGAAACTGATTAACAAGTACGTAATTAATAAATAAGGAAGACGAAATATACAGCAATAGTTTATATACTACACAGAAAAATTTGAGTAAAAAAAAACGATCCAAGAGTTTAATAATTATACAATAAAAATATAAGCGATAATTTTCTTCAATTTAGTTAGAAAAAGATACAGTTTTCACAAAATTTGTTTCATTTTAAATATGAACATTGATAAGAAAAACAACGATTTAAAAGAATACTTGAACAAATCATTGGACAAGGAAATTAAATAGATCTTGAAAAGAGATAAGAAAATATATTGAACTTACTACATTTTATCACAGAAAGAAAATTATTCTTTTTGAACTTAGTGAAATATGATACAAACAAATTATAGGTCACATTAAGACCAGGATAGGGTTGGATGGAGAATGCTGGTGAGCGGCTTATGTTCCTTCACAAGGAGTAACAGGAGTAAGTAGGTAAGTAACTGATAACTTGAAATATAACTTTGTATGATAAAGTATATCACACAATAAAAAAGACTTGTATTTTACCATTGAACATGATAAAATATGGAACTACACTAACATTAGTGTAATATGAATATTATGGTTAATGAAAATTTTATTAAAACGTTATTTTGTAGATAAAATTTAGTTCAATATCAGTAAGACAACGATTCAATAGCAAACTATAAACACTACTAATAAAGTGAAATAAACATCAGCGAATAATTAGTGAAACTTGAAAACTTTAGATGAACTAACAGAGGATCACGACTTTATGTTATGCAGCTTGGAATATGATAATAAGCGAAAGCTAGTTAGGTGTAGATTAATAAAAAAATTGTACACTGATATTGAGTAGTGGCAGATGATAACAGTGGACCGTATTTCAAATATGGTGAAACTTTCATCTAATCTAAAAACCTTTATTGTTCGTAAGTATACAGGTGGCAGTTTTATTTGATGTTGATAGAATAGGGAGACTTTAAAACCTTGGATGCTAAGCATAGATGTTTGGGATGGATTTCTTTGAAGAATAAGGAGTATGGATTACTGATTCAGTGTTGATTTACATTGATATTACATTTAACATTTTGCTTATATCAAGAATCTGATTAACCCATCCCATCCAACATCACGCGTTGAGGTAGGGATGACTTGACATATATAGTATGTGTCCTAAATACCTGAGTCACTGAAGGTTCACAACCACCCTAATGACAAAATTAATATAAGTAGCCAAAGGTCGACTACGTTTTCTATATCTAAGTAAGTACTTAAGTGATATGGCTCAAAATCAGCAGCAGTGACACATTTTATTATTTGATGTATATTAGTTCTCAAATTCAACTGTTCCACATGTAGACTTTACTATCCACATATACTCTCCTTTGTTCAGTATACATACATGTTTTAATTACTTCAATCGACAACTTAAAGCAACAAAGGCCACTTATAAACATTTCATAGATAATAGAAACAAAATTATTTAACAACACACTGCAATTTGTTTTGTTTTAAGAAGTTCACACAATAAAAGGTATAGGTAGATATGAGATATAATAATATTTTTTAAAAACACATGCAAGTACACTCTGAAAGCGAAAATAATACACAATGTATTAGATTTAAGACATGCATAGATATTCTACTGAATTGTGTGTAATTAATTAGAGAAAAATTAAAATAATCTGCATTCAATGAACCATAAATAAAGAACCAAGGCAACATGTCCTTAAAACAGAAAGAGAAAAGAAAAACAACTCCAACTGTGTAATTTACAAGTAATCAAACGTAATATATTTTGTGGCAAGTTATTGAATAAGCTAAGAGAAAAAATCATTTGTACTCGTATGCGTATATACACAGAAATAAACACAGTAATATTCATTGAGTACTACACATCTACAAAACAATATAGCGATTATATATATACACATGAAAACGCTTAAAGAGGCCAGTACAAACGATTTAGGATTTAATGGAGATTGTTCAATACATTGAATAAAATGTAGGCCTACGTGGCAAATGGGAAGAAATGTTAATTTTTTTACACATATATCAATGAATACAGTGTTATGAGTGAAATTCTCGTAAGTATAACGGAATAGATTTCAATCGTAAAATACGAGAGATTTATGACTTTAAATGAGGACGACAAGCAGAGCTTTAAATTAAAGATTCGGTTAATTATTATTAAAATTACATATTTAGTTCTACTGTGGTTTGGGTTACTTATATCCACACAAGTATTATATAACGGTGGTCAGGAATAGAATGAATTTCAGCAGATGGATAAAGAAAGAACGAAACAGAATTCAATTTGTACGAAAATGCAAGAAGAATGAAGTCTGAGTCATTTTGAGACGATTGATGGACATTTTGCAAATTAAGCATTTACTATATGATTGTTAGATTTTATTAACAAGTCCTGTAATTTTGTGTCAAATACATTCGATTGTCCCCACTCGTGTTCTGTTCACTACATTCGGTGTCGCTGCCAACCAGGAGAGGAGAAAGGTGCTGTTCTGCGGACGCCGTTTCGGGCCTGGAGCTGAGGTGCTGGTTGGTACAGTCTGGTGCGGAGAGGTGGAGCGTTCTGACGGGGCGGCGTTGGCTGTAGATGCTGTCGACGGAGAGGAGCGGTGGGACGTGAGGATGGCTCAGAAGGCCGCTGGAGCGCAGACGTTGAACGTCCCAGGTGTCGGGAGGATGTTGATGCCCCGGAAGGTCGACGGAGCTATGGAGGTCAGCGCGCCGCAGACTCGACATTTTGACGGGGAGTGTGGCACAGACTGCGGAGAAGAAAGTGGCACGGCGGGCAGAACCACCGCATGAATGAGTACTTTAAAGGGGGGGACGAGTGTGGTGTGGATTACTTATATCCACACAATTATTATATAACGGTGGTCAGGAATAGAATGTATTTCAGTAGAAGGTCGATGAGGAAAGAACGGGAACAAGAACGGAACGCAATTGGTATGAAAACGCATTAACAATAAAATCTGAGACAATAGATCGATGTTTGCAACAGGAACAGTCAAGTTTGATGTGATGGATCGACATTTTGCAAATTTACGATTTACTATATGGTTCTCAGATCTTATTGAGATGCTCTGTAATTTTGCGTCAAATACCTTCGATTTTCCCCACTGGTGTTCTTGTTCACTACACATACCTCCTGGATTCCACTGCTAGCCACTATCCAACTTGGTTTAGAATGCTTGTGATATAAAGCACTATCCATCTTTGCTTATACCGTTTACATATTTTATTAGTTAAACAGATTATGTATGTTTACTTGCAACAGATTTTATCTACTGCTACCTTCGTTATTTTCTTTATTAATACTATCTTTAAAATTCAGTCAGTCAGTCAGTCAGCTACAACGTAGGACCAGGCACATATGTGCATCGGTCCAGGTTGCCATACTGCATCAGCACAACAAGATGAACACCGGATTCACAGCAGTGGTTAGGTCAAAGGTGGTAATATATAGGAGAAAGATTGCATATAGAGATATAGTACAAGAAGAAAGAATTGGTTCGTAGAAGGAAAGATATGAAGTGATTTTAATCTCATAGTTTAAGGGAAGACAGAGGGTATACACTGACGCCATTGTGATCGATTCTGAGCCATGTCACCAAGTCCCCAACCATTGGTTACGAAAGTCACGCGGACCCCAACCAAGTAGTCTGCATCTGCCAACATTGCTCAGACTAGAAGTTAGTGTCTTCAAGCACTGATGCCACGTTTTGGTTTGGCCGTCACTAACTTTCTTCCAACCATCTCCAATACCGGATAGCATTGCACGTCGTGGTAGTCGGTGTTCGCGCATACCTAACACGTGGCCCAACCATCTCAATCGATGAAGATTCACAACCTCATCAACTGATTTACCATCATTCACTAATACCCTGCGTTTAACCTCACTATTACTTACCCGGTGATCCCAGCAGACGTCAGCAATATTTCTGACGCATCTGTGGTCAAATACTAATAGCTTACGAGTGTCTTCTACTTTTAATGACCATGTTTCGCTACCGTAAAGTAAAACAGAACGGACTGCCGCGCAGTATACCCGTCCTTTTATTGATAGACGGATATCTCGCCTTCGCCAAAGGTGACGCAAGTTGGCAAAAGCCAAACGAGCTTTTCGAATCCGTGCTGAGATTTCGTCAGACATCAACCCATTAGGGCTGATCAGACTTCCAAGATAAGTGAAGTTGTCGGGGCGTTTGACTACTTCACTCTCTATCCTTAGTTCAGGTGTTGACGCAGACCAGTCCTGAAGCAACAACTTGCATTTCGAGGGAGAGAAGCGCATCCCAAACATTCTGGCATTGTTGCTCAGTGCTATCAAAAGATTCTACATTTTGTCAGCGTCTTCACCAAACAGGACTATGTCATCCGCGTATTCTAAATCGATAAGTGGACCTCCTGGATGGAGATCAATACCCGAGAACTCAGTCGACGAGAAAGTTATTTCCATCAGTAGATCTATGATGTAGTTAAACAAAAATGGGGAAAGTGGACAGCCTTGACGGACACCACATCTTTAAAATTGAAAGGTGGGGATTTTTTTGTATGACTTCTCGTTCATTATTGATTCGTTTTGTACTTTCTGCGTGTCGCTACAATTGTTTACATTTTAAACATTCATATTTCGGATTCATGCGCAAAGCTCAAGTAGAAATAACCACGTAAATTGTATAGTTTTAGAAAACCCATAATGAGATTCAACTTTTTTGCATACTGTAGTTGCTCTTCAAGAAAATGAGTACAGAATACATAATAGAAAGGTCTGTAACTCTATGATTGGAACACTTGATGACCACTTAATGTTCTAATACTACAATAGGAAACAAACAAATAATTCGAATTCACCGAAGAGTATCATGTCTCTCAAGATAACAGGTACGCCTTGTAGACAAGTGCCAAAGAACACGAAGTCTAGATCCAGTGATTCCTGTCGGCTACTCCGATTGCCTAGCATCTCAAGGTGGTGCACACATTTTAGTCATTTAAACTAGTGATAACATCGGCACTTAGTCGAGAAAATCTTATCAGCACTAAAAGGTGTAGACAAACATGATATTAGTTGCTACCCAGTGACAGATCAGTTGTCTACAAGTGGTTAATTCATGCAATCTACAGATTATATTTACGACAACATTACGCATTCATTTATTGCTGGACACCTTATAAATCAGAATAAAAGTGGGACATTTTTCAATAGGTAGTAGGCTTGGTAGAAGACTGCCGCTCGTTCTGGGTACATGTTTAGACTCTGATCATGCTCTAATACGAGTAGGCATATGCCTGTCATATTAAGATCCACTAGAGTTGAACCCAGTGACGAGAAAACCAGAAGTAGATTCCAGGAACAGCTGAGGTCACACTTAGGTAGTTCTGAAAACGAAGCTGACCCAGATGTTGATTGGAAAGATATACAAGCAGCTATGGAAACAGCAGTGACATCTATCAGTGATTTAAACCAAAAAATCACGAACAACCGGTGGATTTCTGCTAAGTTTATAACACTAACAGATTCTCGTAAACTCATTCCATCACGCTCTGAACACGATAAAGAGCGAGGACAAACCAGATGTAGATTAACCAAAAGTCTAAAGAACGACCGTGAGCAGTGGTGGGCAACGAAAGCAAAAGAGGTAGAAAAGGCGGTGGCTGTAGGGAACACAAGACAGTTCTTCAGACTAACGAAAGAAACTGGGATTAATAAGTCAAGTGTAAGTGAAGCTATCTCGGGAAAAGACGACACTCTTATCTGCTTCCTATCCAGACGTTTAAAACGATGGGCGGAACACTTTAAGGAGTGGTTCAACTGGCATTCAGCCACTCAACAAATACCCTCCATTCCCAAACAGCCGGATGGAACATTAAGGCAGGCCCCCAGACTCCAATTGAAGTTCAGAAAGCCACAGCCTATCCGAAAAGAGGAAGCGCAGTTGGTCCAGATGGATTGGCTCCAAAGATCTTTAAAGATGGTGGTCCAGTTTTAGCGATTTGGTTGACTAATATTCTAACTAAAACCTTGGAACTAGATGTAATCACATCTGACTGGTCGCAATTGCTGATGATCAAGATCGACATGTGATAATCACTGAGGGGTTAGTTTGACTAATACAGCATCTAAAATAATTATCTCAATAATTATCGGACGCCTAGCAAACACTCTTGATCTGCAAACACGAGGAAATCAGACTGGCTTCGGACCTGGTCGTGGTTGCATCGACCACATATTCATCATTCATCAGGTTCTAGAACACAGGCATACTTATCGGCGTCCGACAACGGTGGTCTTTCTTGACTTAAAAGCAGTATTTGACTCCGTACACCGCGGGATTCTGTGGCAGTGTCTGTCATTGAAAGGAGTACCTCAGAAGTACATAAACCTTGTGAAGGCTCTTTAATCGAACACTACTAGTCGAGTCAGAGCTTATGGAGGACTGTCATCTGCTTTTGCAACCACAAGTGGTGTTCGTCAAGGCTGTCCACTTTCTCCATTTTTGTTTAACTCCATCATAGACCTACTGATGCAAATAACGTTCTCGTCGACTGAAGTTTCATGAATTGATCTCATTCCAGGAGGTCCACTTATCGACTTATAACACGCAGATGATATATTTGCCTGATCCTACATTGTAGCTGACTGACTGACTGACGCAAAGCTATTGGTAAGTTATTATTCGTCTTTCTACTTAGTTAACTTTATATGCTATAGACTCACATTGGGACCGCAAATAATCCACTACTAAGTGCATCACCTGTGAGGAGTTATGATTTAGGCTGGTAGCTTTTTGAAAACTACCTTCAAAATAAAGAATTTTCACACAGCAATATTAGGGGAAGCCAGTTGTTACAAACGCTTTTATAATTAGATTAGCCGATGATAACTAAACAAGTTTTACACTTGTTTCTTGATATTGGAAACAGTACATCTAACATTAATACTTTTAAGTAAAAACAAATTCTCAAATGTGATAAAATTGATCCATTTGGGAACAAAGTACTCAAATATGATGAAGTACGTAAACGTACACCGAGTATTTGTTTTAGGTCAGTGAACACGATGCGAAGGTTGGGTTTATATGAAGAATGTATAATCTCCGGTTAATGATGATTCAATTCACAATCGGCATGTGCAACAAGATGGAGAGACCCACGCATTCTTACACAAACATGCACATATGCATACATACATAGTTATGACAAGTTAATCGAGCCAAAAAGAAACGATACACGATGTTAGCTATATGCTGATGCAGCATAATTCGCTGAAAAGTTTTACAATTATATGATGAAGAAATATACATCAACAGAATTACAATGATGATTTTAACACTACTATTTGCTCCATACAAATAGTGATCAATCAATACTAGCACATCACTAAAAGATCATGTATATAAAAAAGTACTTGATTGGGCATACAAGACATTTGACGAAGTTGTTTGGGAAGGAATCAAAAACCATAATAAATAAAAATAACTATCATGATTTCATGTGAAAGAAGTCTAGCTTTTTTCAGTTTATGCACAAAAATCGTGTTTATGTTATGAAACAAATGAAAAAAACTTGTTTTTTAGCAAGCATTCAGCGAATAGAAATTGCCGAAACAAAACATAAATGTACGACATTGAAGTGTTTGAAGGAAGGAGTCAAGAATTAACTTACCATAATAATCGGTTGAACGACCTGCTAATCAAATACAGTTTATAGAATATACTACCACAGAATGTCTCAATATCAATCTATCAATTTTTCCACGTATCATAACTTTATTCAATATGTGAAAGGTTTATGAGAATTTATGTCATTTCCAGAGAGTAGTAATCAGGAACAATGTGTTATTGGAGAACCGCTCACATTATTCTGTAAGACTAAACCTGTCACTAACAGTGATCAAATATAGGTACAGTGATATGGGACCCCATCACTTCGAAACTAGTAAACAGTGAGGTCACTGTTTTATTAGATCACCGTTTCTAGTTACTCTACGAAAAATTCATGGATTATCTGATCTGCATCTATAAACATTTGTTTCTATTGTTATCCAAGTATTTGAACGTCAATAACTTGACATCATTTGATTTTAATCAAGGTTTGAAATTATTCTAACCACACTTATGCCTGACTGCGGGCTATTTCCTTTCTAGTGTAGATTGAACATAGTTTAGAGATACAACAGGACATAGTTATGCGATTTTAATGATGTTTCTTAACTTCGTTGGTAGAGATTATCCGGAATTTATAACATGCAATAGAATTTTATTATTGTAGCGAGTGGTTATATGGAATTTAAACGGATTGATTGGTAATAAAGAGCGGTTTAGTACAGCTATGGGATATAGTTTAGGTAGATATTATGTATGGAACGATCATGGGGTGAATGTGTAAACAGAAAACAACTATAATAGAAAACTGAAACTGAGAAATTGGTTGCTTACTTTCCCGTTCTTGAGGTTCTTCTAGAGTCTGAGTTTCTTTGCTATAAATTATGGTTTCCGGAGGAGGAATCGCAATCTCAAAAACATCAGAAACTTGCAAATTTTTCCGTTTCTTGGAATTACGTTGGCTAACAATAAAAAGTGTGGCAGAAATAAGGAAAAGGCATATGAAATCATCCTAAATTCATGAGTATTGAGTAAGGAAACAATTGTCATCATCTTGCAATCTATGACATCAGAGCAAATTCACTTTGCGATATTTCACTGTAGTTAGCGGAAAAGCGAAGCTGAAAGTTTTCTTGAGTGTGATTTTGTAATAGTTAAACTATTTGTTTATCTTGCCTAAATTAGGGTTTGCCAAAATATCTTTTCATTTATGTGCGTGGCAGATATTCACACTAACGAATTAAAAAGTTATTTGCATCCGAAGTTGACAGCAGAGCTAATAAAAGCATGGAGTAAACAGATGAGAAATGGGACAACGTTTTTGGCATTAGTCAAACAAACAAATTTTCCACACTAAATATTTGTAGAAAAACTATATGCTGGTTTCGCATGCCTGTTTAACAGCTTAGTTGCAACGAAAATAACAGTGAAAACAGAACATATCAGTAAACAGTAATGCAAGCCAATTTCAAACTACGTTTTCGAAAGATTAGGAAGCACTGACAACTGGACGCAAATCGTTTTAGCATAACTAACAAAAAGCTTTTAATATGTACATTCGGAAAAAGACGTTTAAAAAAGAAGCCTTCAGCTTTCCATAACCTTAATTTATTAACGGCGTATGTGTCCCCTGGTGTTCGGATGGATCATTTTTCCACAACTGATGTAACCATGATAGGTGAAAGAAATAGAAAGTATATACTGTAAATAAACCAGATCGCCTTACAATACATACACCGATCGATAAGCAAAAAACTGATAAGAAAAACTCACAGCACGCCATCAATCGTATCAAGAGACGGTGATTCTAGTTCACGTATGTTACTAGCCTGAGGTACTACGGGTTCAGGTAAGCCAAGATCTTTTAATAATTCCTCAGTCGTTTGACGTATGTCTGAGACTTCAGCATCGTAAATACCAGTTTTCTTTATTTCCTCTCTTTTCTTTTTTTCCTCTCGCATAGCAAGAAGCTTTGCTTTTTTTCGCTCTAACTCCGCTTTCCGGTCTGACATCAGGACAGCGATTCTAAAAACTGAAGTAGCGGTCCTGTCGAATTGTACCCAAAAGGTTGTCGATAATAAAGTAACTACAACAAAAATACAACTATTTAACGAAATTTCTTAATTACTTCTTCGACGAAATAGTTGCGAAATGACGATATGATGCAATGTTGTTTAAGTGCACACTGAAATTCCCGGTTGTTCGGATGATTACGTTACTCCCGAAATTAGTTTTAGGTAGGTTAGTGGTTCTTAGTATGTGGAGTCGTATAGCCAGACTTTCAATAGTTTTTGAAAATAACTGACCGCGTTTAAAAAGGGGCAACACTTTGAATATGTAAGTCTATTTACTAAAGGCTGTTGACTATATTTCCTGAACGTATGACTGTTCAGTCGATGTAGAAATGAGGCTGGGTAGTACATAAGTATGGATACGGTAGGCAAATGCTAAATTACTTAACCCGATTCATACTTTGCATAGTCCTGCGCAATTATGGATTCATTTTTAAGGTGTAGATAACTGTGTGACCCCTCCGTATGAACTTAAGTCGGCTATCCCATCCTCCATAAACAGAGTTTTTGGCAATGTACTTTATATTGGGCAGGATAAATAATAACAGTTGTTACAGTTTGCTTCAAATGTTGTGGAATTTGTTTGTTCCTCTTTAGAAACAAGTGTATATAGCTTCCAACTTGTAGGAATGCCGATACAATCATGCAACTATTGGTAGGCTGCATCCGCCAGCATGGCTCAGACGAATTGATTGACTATATGCTGACATCACATGTTGGTTGTTGTGGCTCTTATTTCAAATGTCCGAGTTTTAGGAATTTCCACACTTGAACATAACTTTCTAATTTCTTTAGAGTAGTTAAGTGATGCTGTCTATATAAAAATATGGTTAATCACGGTCGACTCAGGTAGCGTTCTCGTGAAGCTTTACAAATTGTACATGATTCTAAATTTGTATCGCACGTTGTTTCCATACAATTGATTCCAATAAATCATAGATCGTATTCGCTGCACGACTTATCATGTTACCGTTTTCCTCTTCTAACGACGTCATACAGGTGATCTTTTCACTGTTTGCAATTATATTAGTTACCGGAAATCGAAATGCAACTCAATGGGACGTTCGACGTGAAGTTAGGTAAAAGTTTTCTAGATCGAGATTCAACATCCTACATGACCATGCGTTGTGATTTCATGCCCGCTTCTGTCGATCGTTCACAACCTGGGTCAATCAAAGTAAACGAGAGCAAAGAAGTTGTTGTTAGCCTGCCCAACGTTACAAACTCTGGACCAGATACAGCAACTTTGTTTCGTGGAACTGCACGTCCTGTTCAAAAAGAATGTATTTTGATCTACAATAAAAAGGTGATTCTACAAATCCCTTAAAAGTATTTTGAACACAACTTTAATTTTCACATTTGATTGTTTAACGTATTTTAAACCAAGATAAAGGTGCACCACATAATTACTGTCACTGTTTATTTTCGCCAAATGCCCTGATACGGTCGAGGGTGGGGGAGTTAGCTCTCACGTATACACCCACTGCCAGGGGAGTCCTACCCATTGCCTTCTCGCAGAGGGGGTGTTGTTTACAAAATGGACAGGACAAAAACCGAATATCCGGTGCTTTAACCGGGTTTGTGGTACGAAGGGTTTACCTAGGGGAGTTGGAAAACCCTGATTTCAAATCAGTGGTGCACATAGTCTCTAAAATACTGAGGGGGGAATGGCGTGTGAACCTATTGTTGGTTACCGACTACCGTAGTACTTCATCTCCTAAAGTTGCTCTACTGCCCTTTGGATTAGGCCTTCGTGCCAAAGGCTCAGGGTGTGACTCGGGCAGTATCCCAGCTTTCACACAAATTGGTGATAACTGCTACTGGCCTCAGTGTTATTGTGTGGCTCATATGTATTGGGTGTCTCCTTGTACCAATGTTTATGTAGTCAAATAAATAGATAATTAAGTAGTTTTTGGTTGTTGTCTGCTGCTTCACCTCTGGATTACTCGTAGATCTTACTAGATTCTAAACACTGATTGACAAACATTTTCAGAATTATTTCGTTGACTAATAATGGTCGTGTTTTCCAAATGTTATTCATAAACCAATGCATGGCTGAGTTATCCAACTGTTCTTTTTCGTGTTTTATGTACAATAGCCAGCTTTGCTTTTAGCCTCAAGATTTTCTGGATACTCTACACCAATTGTACTAACGTAAACTCTTACTGCATCATTTCAATTTTTGAGATCCCATTCAATCAAACTTAACGTAGTCACCATGTTCATGTTTATGCATCCAGCTTTAAAGCATACTATCTAGGTATTCAAATCGACATGAGATAAACGGTGTTCAAACTTTCAACTCAGGTTACTAAGCGTGTCTTGGCCTGTATACCACTGTTCCATTTCAATGCACTCGGTAGTTACACACTTTCAATTCTCGTTGTTTGTTTAGAGAAAACTGACATTCCGTAGTTTATCGGTCATTGACTTTGAAAGGTATGAGTCTCTGAAACACGCTTATTCCGCAGAAATTGAATAGACAAGAGATTCTAGTTTTTGTGTCATTTCTGTGGACTTCATTGTATGTGTTAGTTTGTGTAAAAGATCACAATGTAGTTGGTGTAACTGGTACACTATCGAATACTAAGTACTAATGAGAAATATTTTATTATTAAATGAATCTATAACAAGTGAGCAATAAATGAATTTTGTCCAGCTTACTCTCAATGATCCCCATCTTGTTCGTTGCAAAATTGAAAAAAATTAAGATTGGTTAAATTTAGTAACATTTTCACAGTATTTTTTACAGTGTTTAGGGAAATTGAGTCGGTAATTGTCTATACATTTTCTACACCCTATAGTCTTATCCAACTGGCACTATTTGTTCAATTCATTCACATTCGTGGTTCTGTACATAATAGTTTGTTGCCTAACTGCATCAAACTATTGTCTGAAGGGTAAATTACTAAAAAAAGCCCAATCCATAACATATGCCATACAATTTGGAAAATCATTACTGTCGTATGTTGCGCGTCGATAATAAACCTTACTATTTTCAAACATCTCTTCTTTTCCTTTTGGATAGTTTGAGATGCTTATCATTACCTTTTCTGCTTAAAATGTTAGTTTTGTATTTGATATACCTTTCTCTCTTACTTGTGTTAACCAGACTACTAGTTTTCCTCCTTATCACCGATATGTTTTGTGTTACTCCCTTAGACCCATGAATTAACCTTGGAGAGAATTGCACATACTGTGCAGCTAAAGAAAACCCGAGAAGAACGAAAAGCTGACACCACTTGTCCGACCAACTCAGAAATGCCACAGTTCCAGTCCTTGGTTAGCCGCTCAGAACAAGATTTAAAATCTGTTCGACCATCTCCAACCAAAAGAAAATCTAATGATCCCGAGATATCGACTTCGAGTTCTATAGTACAACAGTCAACTCAAAAAAAGCCTCCACATTCGAGAACGCTAAGTAGTAGTAGCAGCAGTAGTAGTAGTAATAGTGGTACTTCTAGTAGTAGTTGTGACATGGATATTGAAACATCGGAGAGTGATAGTGACAGCTCCTCAGAAAGTGATTCAAATTCATCTACTCTTAGTAGTTTATCAAACGACAGAAACAAAACGTCGAAAGCAAAACCATCTTCAAATGGAAAAACTAATACGAAAACGGCCAATGCAACAAATTTAGCGGCCCATCGTAAACTGATTGAACATGATTTAAAATTAAGTGATTCTGACTCTGATTCTTGTGCATAGAATGTTCTAGGAAAAAAAGCTGTTTTCTGTGATTTGTGCTGTAAATAGTGATTCTTACTATAAAAAGACATTAAGGAAGTATGTACCACTTTTCCGTATATGATTATCTCTTATGATTGATTTTATTTGTCTTTAAATAAATACTGCTATTTACATGTTCCATTCTTCCTTGCAATTATGTGAAAATTTCGTTTTATTCCTTATCTTTATATTCCATATATAACTCAGATGTTATGCAGTCAAATGATCTTGTGAGATTTATTAACTCATTTAAACCAATAGCTGTTACACCAAGATTATAGTCAGATCTACCTCTAGTGGTACTAAATTCTAGTCATTCTCTTCTCGAGTGTTCGTTCTAGCAGTCTTATCATCCCATGTGGATTGACTGGAGAATGTTTCAGATAGTTTAACCTTAAAGACAGTGAATAGCATTGACTTGATCTGTGATACATTGTTAACATTTACTACTCTGCCGATAGAATTATAGGACTGTTGATGTCATTGCTTTTTCATGGGTTTTGGAGTAGTTATCCTTATCATTACAAAAACAATGAAAATCTATGTAGAGTGCTTTTCAGTTTTCAATACTACCATAAAACCGATAAGTGTCTTCTTTCTCGATAAATCCATTTATGTATTTTCGGCAGAGACAAACTGAAAGCTCTTAACTGGTCAGTTAATTTGGACAGTAAATATTAGATCAATCCTCAAACACCATGTTGACCTTGTATCTCTGTCTTTCGATATAGAACCTATTCTATGGGAATTTTGATTTTTAATTTGTTTTCTTTTGAAGAGCGATTCAGTGATTTACCTGTTAAGTGAACAGACCGTATCCTTAGTCGACTCTAGACAGCAAATTATTTCCTATCTTTTTACATTACTTAATTGTAAATTTATTCTGTACTAAGATATGTTGCTTTATTACTGATAATGACTCCGGATTAGCCACCCAACAATTTTAGTCAACTATCTTAGAATAACATCAAGAAACATTGTTTGTTTTATTAACTCAAATGTTGGTTTAGGAGCTTAACCTTTTAAACCATCGAAATCTGGTGTTGATTGTCCTTCAACTACTGAGTTCCGAGTTAGTGAGTGAGGTGGTAGTCGATATGAAAAACATGGATATGATTTATCCAATGAATACATTTCAAGTAATTTGATTATACATTTACTAGTCAAGACATTCTCTGTGAAAACTGAGGAAGGTCAAATAGATAAATAATGATGTCTGGAAATTTAAGAGACAGTTTGAAGTGTAGATCGTATCTGAGCATTCATTTCACTCAACTGTTCTAGAAAACTAATAGACTTTCAATATTAATTGATTTTCTTGAACTAAATTCTGTCTTATATTGTATTTTTACATGGACATTCTTCTTAGTAGAAAAACTAGGATTAGTTTGGGGATTTTCCTATAGGTCGATTTGATTTTTAATCTGTATTTGTGCGTATTGCTGAGCGATTCTACACTAGAATGGAGCAGTTGTCCAGTGCTTCCCGGTTTTCAGTAGTGCCCCAAATGAGATGAATACAACCTAAGGATTTAGAGATATTTACAAATTTAAACAAAGCAAGAACAGAGTTCGTAGAGAAAAATCTATTGTATTTTGAGTTTTCTCACCATTTGCTAACAACCTGAAATTACAAGAGGCGATATACTTATTAATTGTCACAAATTAATTTGTTTTTAGTGTTAATTGTATAGTCGTTCATCATTCCTGTTTTGATTATTAGTAATCGTAATATCACCTCTACAACTGTTCTGCAACGTATGTACGCGTCAATTTCAACTATGTTTAATAACATATGTTACTTATCATGGTTTTCGGTTCCTTTATAACTATTCATTTCAGTTTCAATTACTAAAGTCTGTACGTTTGCTTATTATTATACTGCTCCTTTTCAGTTTAGACTGTTCATAGTTGTTAATAAAAGGCTTCGAAATACAATTAGTTCATTTTATTCTATAAATTTTGTTGTTTTCACATTGTTTAAATTTATCAAAAAGGGCAAACAGATAAAATTACCTAAGTGCTCCATTGGAATTATTATTTAATGTTCTCTGAATTATAAATTCTATGCTAACTAAAGGTTATTCATGTTGTACCGTCCAACTATTTAGTTTAATCAAATCTTTGAAATTTTTCAAACCATTAATTTCTATAAGATTTGTTGAGTTGTGTTTTTTTCTTTCCTATCATTTTTTAGGGTACATTTCTGTGTGTAAAATGAACTATCAGCTAAATTATTATAACCTGTGAACTCAACCAACTTTCACTGATTCTTCTCTATCCAACTCAAAAAAATTTTATTGTTTTAATGGTTATAGTTCAGTATATTGTATTACGTCGTGATTTGTCAACGGTGTTAAATTGGCCATTAGGTGCATTAATTGCACAAGGTTGTCATGCCGCGACAGCAGCCATTACTACTTACTATACACATTCAGATACAGTGTTATATCTAAACGAACTAAATAGAATGCATAAAATTGTTTTAGGAGTTGAGAATGCGGAACAACTAGAAAATTTGGCAAATAAATTAAAAGATGCCAGTATTGATTATTATTTGTGGATAGAACAACCGGAAGATCTATGCACAGCATTAGCTACACGCCCATACGAGAAATCAATTATTCAGGTTTATTTTAAAGGACTTAAATTATTATCATGAACTAATATAAATAACGTTGTGTCATAGTGTTGTTTTGTAGAATTTGTGAATGCAATTGTCGAAAAAAATCTTTGTTTTTGTTAAAATAAACAAAAGAAGGCACTTCTTTTACATTATTATTGACAACTTAGTCGTTTAATTCGGCATGTTTTTTTCTGACGATAGTTTGTAGCTTTTAGTTCTTTTGATTGGATTGTTTAACTTTAATGGTTAGTCAATAGATTCTTAATCATTTCTTTATACGTTCAAATAACATACACCCAGTTTTATTTATGGCATACTTTGGACGTGTGGACTGTTGATAATTGAATTTTCTTTAGACAATGTGTCATGTATTTCAATTTGAGATTCTGTTTCGATGTATTATTAGGTTTTCACAAATAGGTAGTGATTCTTAGTTCACATTATGGAGGTACAAACAGTTTTTATAGTAGGAGTTTCCCCATAGATTGACATGTGTTCGCATGATTTTGGAATTTTGGATTATTCTACTTCTATGGTGATAGAATATTGCTACATACCTTTTACTTCCAATCGTCAACATGTACATACACTGATTAGTACTAGTATATAAATGTCTAAAGAACTGAACTTTGTAAATTCACTCCACATAAAGGATTTCTACTAATTAATTCAAATCTGTTCGAGGTGCTAACCTGACCCATTATGAAGAATGTGTACATTTTATTGTATCCAGGCGACTATCTACTGTTTGTGAAGTCCTCAAGGTTTTCCCAACTTAATTCAAAATAGTAGATAAGTGACATTACACAGTGATTGTCACTTTCCAAACAGAAAGGAAGTTATGGGTAGTGGTTCGCACAGAATTATCAGTTTACAATCGACAATAAAAGACGAAACCATGACACCGATGAATGTAAGTAAGACCTTTATATATAAACAAGTTAATGGAGATTAAGTACGGTATCGAACACTGATCTCAGGAAAACTGTGACCAAACATAAAATAGCAAATGTGAATGAGTAATTTATAGTACAAAATGAAAGAATTTGCAAAAAATATGTTGTCTTTGCATCATTAATAAACATCCCAAAGTTGGCCAAAAGTTCTAACTTGAGTTAAGCGTACTTTGTATGGTCTAACCTAACAAACACTAACGAAATGTCGAAGACGATCGTATTATTACCGTTATTGATAACCTTGACTGAGTTTGTATTAGTTGACATTTGTGCATGCTGTACAGATAGCATCAATATATCGCTAACACTGATATCCAGTTCGTGAATTCCAAATAAAACGAAACGCTTATCCTGAATTCCATTGTTAGACTCAAATCCATAAATTCTACTAAAGACCGCAACAAATTTCACTTCCCCGTTTCATTAATACGATTCCGACTGAGTTTTCTTCAGTATCTTAACGTCTTATTATTACTCATCAGTGGTTTTCTCATTAAAATTAATCATTATACAGTCACGAGTTAGCACCATGATGCTGTGTATCCACTACAAACCTGGAACCACTTTGATCCTAGTTAGTTGGAACTAATATTTTACCAGTTGAATTCATGAGTCGAACTAAGCTAAACCACCATTGGAAACCTGGAAGAAATGGATTATCATATGCTTACCAGTGACTAGATTCAAGATGGACTTCTTGGAGCACAAATGAGAAGCCGTGACCAGTAGAGTCCAATCCCTGTTTGGTGGAGACAGTTATCCACCTCAAACAATGAGCGAAGTGTTGCACAAAATCATGGATCGATTAAAGTTAGACATTAACACTGTTGAATTCCGGCTTAGTTGTCTAGAGGTTGTGTTTGCGCTCGAGTACCGCATGCGAGATCTTGGACCGTACTAGTGAGGAGTCCCATACTAGAACGAAACGGCCGTCCAGTTTAATTATGGTCTAGCTTACATTGACTCATGAATTCAACCATTAAAAATTACTACAATCTCTACAAATCCCCATTCTGATAATATTTTACCATCATTGACTACTCATTGTGAACCAGATGACTAGCTAGTGAATATAAACAGGAAATATTAATTTAAGCGAGTCAAAAACGCAATATGTAATACAATGTACTATACTGCAGCATTTCGATTATCATCAGCTACGGATAATTATCAATCATATTGATCACCTACATTCAAAGAGATTAAATCAAAAATCAATATTTTGGTATTTATCTAGTATAGTAGAGAATTTATAAAATGTTTAGAAAGAAATCCAAGAATTTACCAATTTATGAAAACGAATCACATTATAAAGCCAATATAACTGGAAATCTAAAAAATCCCGATCATCATTTTTCATATGACTCGAGTATTTCAAGTGAAAACTTGATGTTTAATAAAAAGTTAACTGGCAAATCTAATCAAAATAAAGCTTTAAGTTTAATTCACAAAATGAATATATTCTCACGTAATAGGCGAACTATCAACAGAAAAGTCAATTATAACGAATATATTGATTCAGTTCAATTTGATATACCTAATGATGAGTCTATGGAAGAAAATGGATCACTTAACTTGAGTCTTTCTCCAACGCATAAATCAGAATTCGATAGTAGAAACACTTCTCCTATTTATTGTGATCAAAAATCTGAACAGCATTGTAACTCTAAATTCACTAGACTATCCACAAAATCTATATCAAAAACAGATTCACAAAAGAATGATCCACTCCACACGGATATATACGCGCATGATAATAGCATATATGGGTGTACAACTATAAGTGAATCATCTGGATTTAAAGAACAACAAGGTGCAATTTCATCCTCATTACCATTCACAATCCCGGATCCAACTGCTTACAGAGATTTAGATAATGCTAGTCCTGAAACTATTGCGCTATGTCGTCATCATTCATGTCACTATTGCTTCTATGTTTATTTTCCATCATCAACTGTGAGTTATATATATATATATATATATATATCTTTCATGTGATTATTTGTTAATCTTACATTATAGTCTACTTTAATGTATTTTTAACCACTGAGCTAGTATTTTCAAATGCCTCTCGAATTTAAAACAGCAGGGTAATATCATCATTGTTCATCTACTATGTGACTTTAGAATTAATTACCATTCTAAATACAGTACTATATATATCTGACAAACTAGGAAAGATAGGCTACACTGTAAAATTAAAGGTAGGTATCAACTGAAGGGATGTATTTATATCATAAAAGCAACATTCAAATCTTAAACTAAGTGTTTTACAATCGATAGTAAAGTGTACTTAGATCAGATTAGCTTTGAAAGGTATCAATATCCACAAGTTGTATTCACACATTAAGTCTTTTTTTAACCATCTCTATAAATTTGAACTAAGTCAATAAATTTCTCTATGGAAAGAGTGTTCTATATGATCTTATTATAAAAATACACTGTTGACAGGAATATATACATATATTATTTTGCTAGAATGTCACTCATCATTAGGACTACTTCAACTTGAATAAATCATATGATTTATGGTACAAGAATTTCATCGGTATGCTTAAGAAATGTCAAGGATAGGGTTTAGTAGTATTATGCACCCTACTTTTTATTTTTACGTAGAAATAATATATGGAGTTACTAAATAATTGTTTGAACTTGCGCAAGCTAGTACCTATCTAACCTTAATAGTTTAACGAGTAATGAGTTTAGCGTTTTATATGAAAGGTCCCAGGTTCGAGTTTTAAAATGAACCTTAATACTGGGATGTGTGTACATTCAGTTGACGAGTCCTGAATGGTACGAAACGCATCCTAGGTTCCACTGCTAGCAACTACCCACCTTTACCTAACAATGTTTTTTGAATTGTATAAGCAGATGTTTGTTGGAATTCATTAACAGGGTGGCTAATCACTCAGCTGATATGCATATTTGTTTTAGAAACCTTGAATCGTTTACAACTCCATACTTTTATTCGTTATGCTTCTGGCATACTTCCATCTTTCTCTCCCTTTTCTGTAATTGTAATGTGAATCAATCTCCGATAATGCCACGTTATTGTCTTATTGTATTCAGTTAGCTAGTTTGATTGAAAAAAGAAACTGTGGTATAAGTGTTGTTTCCTATTTTATTGGTACGATATGGTCTGTCTGGTTGGTATATAAACCTAGTATGTTTAAAATAAATGATTCATATCGCATAGGCTGAGATATGTGTTCTGGACTTAACTGGCTGGGCTAGACGGACAGCAGGAGCAATCAGGACTCTAGGCTGCTCATACGGGCAACATCTCTAATGTCACGACTCACTTTTTGGTCTGAACCTCTTTCCTAATGAGTATAATTTCTAATTCTAGTTTATTTTAGAACTATTATTCAGTTATTATTGCATTATTCAATTATTCTTTTCTTCAAATTCATCAGGTAGAAAATCATCTTTAAAGTGTATTCATCTTACTTTTTTGTTCATTAGCCTATAGCTAACAATGTAGTGAACGAAATCTCACGTATGATATATTAATTTACTATTATATTCAAAAGTTGAAATCATGAGTCAATTGAATCTAGACCGCCATGGAAAACCTGGAAGCACTGGATGGCTGTTTCGTTCTATTGTGGGACTCCTCATCAGTGCGCGTCCACGATCTCGCCCCCCGCAGGATTCGAACCCGGGACCTATCGGTCTTGCGCGTGAGCAATTAACCTCTAGACCACTGAGATGACATCCAGCATCCATTGTCTTCAGTGAGCTGATATCTCACAACAGACCTGGTTGAACTCTACTGGTCACTGCTTCTCACTAGAACTACAGCAAATGTCTCTTGAAGTCAGTCACCAGTGAGCAGATGAAGATTTTATGAATTTCAATAGTTGAAACCATGATTCAATTGAAGCTCACTGAAGTTAATGGTGTACGGTGGCGCAATTTCGTGGATTGGTTGAAGTTAGACATTAACACCGTTGGATGCCGGTTCAGTGGTTGAGTGCTCGCGCGTGAAACCAGTAGGTCCTGGGTTCGAATCTTGCGGGGAGCGAGATCGTGGACGCGCACTGCTGAGGAGTCCCACAATAGGACGAAACGGCCGTC